AGCAAAGACCAAAAATTTTATGAGCGTGGAATTATGCTACTACCAGAAAGATGGCAAAAGGTGTTGGACCAGAACGGTCAATATATAATTTAATAAAGTATTTGTTTATTATACGAAAACTGTCTTTCATTTCCACAAAAAAAAAAAAAACGAAATGACTTTCCGAACAACCCTATATACAAATTTCATAATACGTTACTAACGAGTACCAGACGGATACGAATAACGCATAAGTTTTTTTATGAAATGATTCGGTTAGAGCCTTCGGATATATCCGGATACTAATTTCCTGGCGGATACTGACAGCGAATACGCTTTTTCTAAAGGATTTGGATGCAGCCTTTATATATATACAAGCAGTATCCGAATACCGGATCCGGATACCGAAGTATACAGATGCTACCCAGTTTAGATTCCTTGAACGCAAAAGTTTTGTCCAACTACTTAATACAAAATCAAGGGGTTTCTTGTTTAATTTTATATCTCGTTATTTTTTTATATCCTCGTGTGACTCGAATAACTCTGTGAATTATAATAATAAATAGTTGGCATGTTCCCGATCCTTGTGTGATGACCATCACAAACGAGCAGGCAGACCAGTGATCTCATAATAATGATTCTTATATCTTATAGGCTACGAATATAAATAAATATGTGATTTAATTTTGAATTCTACACATACCTGATGGCCATTCGCAAAATCTCATTTTTAGAAAGCTTTTTGTCAGGCGGATGAGTAGGAACCAATTTTCTTAGTTCTGCAAACGCTCCACTAACATTCTGTTGTCTCCACCTTTCTCTACTGTTCGTAAAAATTTTCCTCACAACGCCACTGGGGCGGACTTCTTGTAAAGGCTTAATAAAAATAAAAGGATAATAGAATATAACGGTAAATCTTCACATAATAATTTACAAAATCCTTTTACAAGTAAGTAATATCAGTTTTTTATCGTAAAAAAAATAGTATTTGCATGATGAATATGTCAAAATCAAATGGTAAAACGCCAAAAGCAATTGTGACTTGGCAAAGGTTCGAAGAGGACTCAATTGCTGAAAAATGTCAGTTTTCCTTAGCATCGCAGATATCATTGAAGTGTAAACTTTGACCATCTAGATTTTTTAACCAAACAAAGTTTTTTGTGCCGAAACCAATAAAATTTTTCCAAATTTTAGCGGTTCCTGGCTGTCAACGCAGCTATTAGTGCGTAAATTGCTTTAAAAATAATGAAAAACGTTCTTTTTTCCTACGCATAAACTTTTCTCAATGCTTCAAGTAAGTCCCCTTCATCGCAGGACTTTTTTCCACCATGTGAGTACACAAATAACTTTACAACTTAACTTTAACCTTTAGAAAATTGGTTTAAATAAAAAACACTTGCAATTATTTTTAGAATAAGTGCTTATTCAAAGTTTCGACTTAATATTTCTAAATAATTATCGAGGAATTATCACCTTACTTTTAGCATATCCGCGATTAGATAAATTTTGTTTTTATTAAATTCAACTCTTAAGTCTATCAAAACGTATTGTGCATTGCCTAACAATTTCGAAAAATGTACCAAAAAACAATCGCAATCGTACCTCCAAGAAATAATTAATGTTTCGCGATATTTACCATTCATTTTCACTCCTAATAGAACATTGTATCTGATGAGTGAACCCATCATAACATGTGTTCTGTTTTATGATATTAATAATTTAGAAATCCAGCGTAATTTTTAAGTATTTCAATAAATATCGAGCATTTTATACATCTACTTTTTAATCTATACATCGAAGATGCGATCAACATCAACAAGACAGTGCAATTGTAAGGATAGATAAGCAGGGGTAAAGGATTAGTATGCTTAAATTTGCAGATGATATAGCAGTATTAGCATCTGGCAAGGAGGAGTTAGAGATAGCTTTAAATAAAATAGAAGCAATATTGACAACAGTATTATATAAAAATAAATAAAAATAAAACAAAAATACTGGTACACAAGGGAAGAAAAAGTAGAGAAAGAGCGAATATAAAGATAGGAGACGAAAGATTAGAAGAAGTGGCTGATTTTAGATATCTAAAAAATCAGATAAGTCAGGACAGAAGGAGTAGTAGGGATATAAAGCAGAGAATAGTGCAGGGTCGAGTCGCCTTTCTAAGTCACTTCTATGCTTGCAAACGGTTAATTTAGAAATTCGAAAAAAATTCTGAAAGGTGTACGAGTATGTTAAGGATACCGTGAATAGAGAAGGTTAGAAGTACAGAGGTATTAGAAATAATAGGAAAACAGATGATTCTATGCAAGCCATTAAAAAATAGGCGAGATAGGTTGGTAGGACACCTTCTCAGGCATGAAGATCTACTCAGAGTTATATTAGAGGGAGAAACAGGAGTTATGAGGAGTAGAGGTAGACTTAGATGAAATTGCTGTTCGCAGATAGTTGGATTAGGATGTGAAAATATTCTCGCTTTCTTCATATTTTTTCCTTTGTAATTACTCTAACCCTTTAAGCATAATAAATATCAAAATAATGAAGAAAAGTACCAACCTGCAGAGCGTTTTGGTAATTTTGCGATATCGGTCTTCTCTCTTCGTCGCTGTCCAAAAGCGAAAATTCGTCGCTTAGGTCTTCATCATCAGAAAATGAATCTTCAATATGATGCTGTCTTCTATGAATAGAAGACGAAGGACTCGTACTGTCAATGTTATCTACTTCAGCAGACCAGTCGATCTCGTTAAAACCATTCTCATAATTACATGAGTTTTCGTCATTTGTATTTGGCCGCTTGAACAAATAAAAATTGGTTTGATCAATTTATTGTACCTATCGTACATGAGGAAGTTATTGTAATTGATTTAAAAATAAAGCTCATATGTTTATGTTTCAAAGTTTAATTTTTTTCTAAAATATTAGGTCATTTTTTGCACAAAATCCCGTCAATAAAAAGAACGGCATTGATTTCATATAGGATGCTAAGATAATCCGAAAGAAATTTTATAAAATCCGATACAGCCGTTTTCCTGATCAAATAAAAAGACTTTTTTTCGGGAAAAAGATGAAAAATATTCAATAGACATCCAATCGTCCGTACAACTATTTATGTTGGTTTTCCTCCGAAAAGGACCTACCAACAACTGTTTACTGACTCCAATTTGTTCTAATGGCAATTATTACTTTTATGGACAAATCAAATATTGATTTTGTTGAAATATTGCGTACATTACTGTGATACTTTTAATATTATTATCACTATTTATTCATAATAATAATCAATACTCATCATACTGGGAAGTTAATTGTGTTAATTATGGTAAGTCTTTCATGGCTACCATTTGGAAGTGGTGTGTTTATTAGAATTTTTCTTCCTTCAAGATCTAATATCAGGCACATTAGTGATACAACGTTGAAAGAAGAAACTACACAATTTGAATGAGGGTACAGAATACTTTTTGACTTTTCACTATAAAAACCACGAATTTTTCAAAATTTATTGATTTCAGGTCGATTTTCGAAAATCGAGTATTCATCAGATGTTGACGTTTTGAATTCATAGGAAGCTAAAGCTCAAAATCAGTGGATCTGTTCGAGAATATTGTTGATGAAAAGTTTCAAAAAAAATTTTTTTTTTTTTTTGAAACGAAATTCTGTTTGCGCTTCTCAGACGTTAATAAATGCTGTGGATTATACCTCAACCTGATGGCCTGTAAGATCGGCTGTTTTTCAGATAAATGCACACTTTTTTGAAACATTTTTGAGAGCCCAAAAAAAGTCCCGAATATTTCCTCTCCTGGGAATTTTTCGCCCTGGGCACTTACCCTAGTGCAAATCTAGCACAGAAGAAATCTTGAAAAACCTTAAAAAGAGTCAGTCGCCATCAACTTGTGAACTTGTTTATCTTTACATCTCAATAACGATTTCAATATGTTGATATTATTTTTTGTTGAAAAATATACGTTGTAGCTACAGTTTTAAGAAAATTCAAGATTCTGATGAATATTGTTTGAACAATTTCCAACGCTTTCAGCTTTTCCCAGAGTTTCTTCTTTTAAAAGTGTTGCGAAGTTAAAAATATTTCTATTTAATGACGTTTTATGATTGGATTTGTCCGTATGTGCCTACGATTCATTGTATGGGATATATACTTCCACAAAAGAAATATGTTCTTACTGCACACTACTTTCTCAATACGTATTAACTATTATATGCCTAGGTACATCTTTTTATTTATAATTCGCACATTAAAGCCACTGCAATATGATACTGTTAATGCAAAATTTATCGTTTACTTGACAAATTTAGCACTTTTAGCACATTATGACGAAATGTGTTTGATAAATTTTGGTTCAATAGCCAGCAAATTTACGAAATTTTCGCATTAGCATTTCGAAACATTGAAACAATAAGTCAATATTTTTGCTTTCGTTTAAATTAATAGTGAATCCTTAAAATTATATTCAGTAACAATCTGTGGTAATTTGGCAATTTTCTAGTAAATACTTCTTTATCTCCCAAACAATTGAATATTGACCATAGGTGTATAAACAAATGTGTATTTTTTTAACACGTTCTACCAACATCCAAAACTGACGATGGCAAGGACTGAGATGAATCCTTTAAAATACCAACAAGTCAGCTTATTCTTATCCTTTTGGGAATTACCGTTAAAGTATTCTCGTTATCTTTTGGATGTTGCCGTTTAATTATAGATTAATTCTTTGTTCTCGCTTACCATTTTCTCAAAAGTCATTTAGATTTTCTTTGTCACAACAGCTAGGTACTTAACACATTTAACACCACTAATCAAGAAAAAACTTAAGAAAAGATCCACTTTTCCTCCTTCATATGTTTTATAAAACATCAAAAGTATTGTTTATCGTGAAAGAAATTTGAGCACAGTGATGCTGTAATCAAAGCAGTGCTTTGCTGTATCACTCATGTGTCACTTCCGTGCCTTATCTCCAGCGTACAGTCACCCTCACGCAACCAATCGCAGTTCTGGAGGCGGGTGAAGGGCGAAATGCTCCACCTTCGTGGAAGAAATAAACCAAAAGGGATTATGAAGTATGCATAAAATAATAACATTTCAAGTATCCTCAGGGGTGGATTTGTTCCTCTAGTTTAAGTGCAAAAAATCATAATTTTAAATATTAGCCCTGTCTTGGTATAACAATAACTGGACTTTCCCTTAAGGATGTTTGGGAGGTATGTCAAAATGCTACGAGACAAATAAAAATTTGGAAGAACGTTCCTCATTCAATTCGAAAACTCCTGTAAAAATTACAAATCGATTCACTAAACCGTTAAAAAGTAAAGATTCGTTAACCGAACAGATTAAATTTATTTTTCATCATCATAAGGTCATCAGTCCTAAGATTGGTTGGACACGTACCTCCACTCCTTTCTATCCTGAGCTAAACTTCGCATTTTCCTAAAACTAGAACAGCCCACATCCTTAACTATTTACGAAGAGTAAAAAGAATTTATTTTTATTAACAGAAAAAAAGCTACCAGAAATTTCAAACTTTTATAATAAGTAACTTGAACTCTGGAGAATCATTTGAAGTGTTCTTAGTAAT